TGGGTAGTATTTTTCCTGTCCAATATTATTTCTTTATGCACCTTTCTTAAAACTACCATGGAATTAGACTAACATAAATACCAATGTGTGGCATTTCTTTTATATTTCCATGTTATCCTCACTTCCATGATAAAAGGTAGTTTTAGGCTGACTAACATGCTTAGTCAGTGAAGTCTAAAAGGCCTCATTAGTAAGCAATGTCTACTCTGCATGATCTTTTGTTCCAAAGTCATTAATGCAAGTCATATCAAGCATCTCTTTAAGTGATGTGAGTGACTTTGACACAAAGCTTCTATAGAGTAGACTTTGTTTACTAATGAGGCCTAATATATGCACTTGTTCCCAGTCCTAACTGTGTCAACCAACCATTTAATTAAACAAAGGTCAATGGAGTTCAATGACACATACTTTTGAACATCTTACTAAGGAAAGTAGAGCAAAAAACTTCTAATAATATGTTTGGAAATGATTACAAAATAGCAGCAGTTTTCATAGGACTTCTTTTAGGCCCACTCCAACCAGCTCATCATATCATGTACAAATACTGTGATGTATGTTTTAACTCTAATAAAAAACACATTTATCTGATGGTAAAAGTGTCATTTTCATAACTGGAGTTAACCTGACTGACACACCAATTTGTTGGTGAAACTTAACTAATATATAATTCAAAATTTTAAGGAGCTTGTGCATCATCAAAACAATTAATATCAACAGAGGAAACATGAATGTACATCTAGGAATGTACAAATTGCAATGTCTCGTAATGAAAATACTTAAGCCAGTAAACGTGTAAGTTACGAAAGAACTCTATTTATGTTCTGTCATAACTTACACGTTTGACAGCCGGAAGGAATTGTCATCCTGAAGTACCTTAATGAACTCATTCTTGAATTCCTGAAGTGATTCATAGGTTGTTGAAAGGAAAACTGTACTTCCACAGGTAGAGGCTGATGGAACACGTATAATTCCACTAGATGCATTAAAAGCAACCCTTATTGGCTTCCTTTGTGTAACTGTAGCACCTGTTACAAAACGAAGGAAATGTTCCATTAGTTCCTGGTCTAGGGATCTCACAAAACTTTTGAGAAAGTACAACATTCTGTCTTGTTCAGCACAGAGTTCTTTGTCATCACATGATATGGCTTGTACAACCTTTTCATTTGTGGGAACAAGAAAATCAAAGAGTGCTGTCAACCTTTCTGGGGAGAATGTACACCAAACCTTTTCATAATGGTCTTCAGGTATGCCTTGTAGCATCCACGTCAAAAGTGTGCATGGCTTGTACAGCAGCTCAGATTTTGCCATATTAATGACCTGACTTCTGAACTTTTCTCCAGAATTAGAGGGAGCACATCTCATCCCAAATCTTGTAAACAGTGACAGGATATCATCATCTTCATCAGTAGTCAACTTTCCTTGAAGGCCTCTAATGATCAGATCCCTTTCCCATGTTGTTACAAAGTTCAGAAAGGAGGAAATGAGTTGATTGTCACTGACTTTATCTTCACCAAACAGCAATGAGATGATACACACTTGACAAAAACGTACTGGTATAGTCTTGGTTAGAAGGARACCATGGCTGAACACTCTGCCAAGCTTTGTGAAGATTGCTTGTGCATTTGACATCTGATGTGGTGGGATAAATGGAACTTTAATGATATCACCATCAAAGTAGGCTTCATATGCTTTTTCCCAAAAGGAGGAAAAAAGGTCTCTTGATACTCCACCTAAATCAGCTCCTAACTCATTCTTAAATGACACACAGAAATTTGATCTGCAAATATCTTCATCTTCATATAGGTTGAGCATGAACATCAAGATGCAGTCTCTTCTGGCTTCAACTTTCCGTACCTCAGTCAGTAGATCATCAAAGTCATTTGACTCAACTGCAAATAAAAAGATAAAGAATATTTGAAAATGTATACTTGAATTAACTTTGATTTGAAGCCCAATTAATTTAAATAAATCTTAAATAGCTGTCATTAATTTTTTCATCAAAATTGCCATTCTGAGATAGTTTTCCATGGCCATTGGTGAATTGAATTAGAGGATGATAGTGACGGGGAGAAGATACCAGAGAGCTGCTAGTAAAACCTCAAATCACGGAAGAGAAACAAACACTAATTAATTGAAATATATTTGTGGT